TCCAACCCGAGACCTCTACTACCAACCAGAACCATAAACCATCACTCACTTTACCTTGAAATAGTGGACAGCATAGGCCGTAATCATCTATTATGGCTTCAGGACATCTATTCAGGCATCGGGGAGCTGGAGGTTGATGTTAAGATTAGGGAAGTCATTGGGATTTAGCCTAATTTAAATATAGAATTTCGTCAGCCGACTTCGACGTACACCAGATACTTTGGAGTAGTCTTCACTAGAAAAGAAGCTCTGCTATAATTGAAGAGTTGTTTTTTACCATGGAAACCATAGAGAATCTTTTTGCTTCATGCTGCGTCAAAAGATGTTTATTGGACATTGGATATTTAGGAGGAACTTTCGTACCTGTGCGTTACTTTGAGTGTAGTTTTTGTCCGCTACTAAATTTTACATGCATAGTCTTCCATTTTCACTGAATCAAAACTTTTCCTATTTGGCATTAAACGTGCTTATTTTGTTTATTTCTTTTTTGATGCTTAAACTGCATGTTATACATAAGTGAGTGTTTTGAGTAACTTGAGTAAACTCTAGAAGCTCACTCATTTACGCCGTTTTTTTGTAAAACAGAATTTGGTATGCTGATGTCACACACGATAAAAAACACTGTTAAGATACAAGCCTAATGTGTAAGATAAAACATTTCAGATAAACTGTTTAAACAGTTTATTTCAGAAGCCATTGGTCAGTTTCTCAGGTTAACGAATATTTGTCTGCAGTAGACCTCCTAAACACTTTGCTTATTTTCCGGTCATTATAAACCAGCAGATTTTTGATTCTATCTACTGAAATATTGTATCAGTCTCAATGGTGTATGGGAGGTGGTTGGTGTATATAAGTGCCATGTTATTACTGTCATCAAAGATTGGATTTTACATTTCCAACTAATCTTCGGAAATGTTTAGGGGTGTCGAATTTCGGTAATTTTCTTGCTCCTTTGGTTAGACAGAGAACGAATCTATGTGGTACCTACCGCATCTGGTCGACCGTTAGATATTGGGTAGACGTAACAGTTGGTGGCAGTTCCTTAGTGTCATACATGTCATTTTTTTCACAATAAACCAGTTGCTAAAATTGGTCTTCACAAATCGAACAGCTGATCATACAGACGTTTCATATAGGGCCTTTCGGTTGTTTTGCAGCAATGTAATTCTTTAGTAGGTTCTTGTCACAGGCGGATTTCATCTAGAAGACCAATAAAAAGTAGAAACTTCTGCATAGGTATTACTTCTTAGTCTTGGGCTTTTCAAATTTGCTCACGCATGATCCCATCTGGAATCGAAAACCTAGACTCAGGTTACAAGTTGAGCACTTAACGACTCAGTTACTGGCTTTAAATTCAATATCAAGTGGGGGAAAAATGAGTGCAACTACCACTAGCGATGATGTATTTTGTTCGAAATTTTAGTCAGGACAGTCTAGATGAAATTGTGGTCGTGTATGCTGAAATCTACTGTAGATCCTCAATTCTTGTTTGTACTTCATTGATTTGAAGAACAGTCACTGATGAGTAAAAAAGACCTTACGTTAAAACTTAATAGATGGCATACGATTACGTTTTGTATCTAAAGTAAGCATTTTAACCCTGCTATCTTTCTGTCAGAACGAATAACTTTCTCATTTGCCAATGTAAAATGTCTGTCGATATTATTTCGAATTGTCAATCCACATTGACGTCAGATTCACTGAATCCTCCTTATTTCCAGCTAATTTTTCCTTCTACGCATATTCGTTTATTACTATTTGATTGCATTTCCTCTACCCTTATGTGCTCGTTTATAAAATGCGGTAAGTTCTTGATTTGAAATTCTCTTAACATTGGTGAGAAAATTCCCACTGTCCTACAAAAGATAAAATTAAAACGCTTAGCACAACTGGCTTTACTTGTCCAAAAGTTCAGTTTTCAATCTTATCTGTTATTGACTACTGAATAAAATATGTGGACATTATGTGACAGCTCCATTGACAGTTGCTATCGTAACGGTGTCAAATTTGTGCAATTGGGAAATTGAACAATACTGCACGTACCACGCAGTATTGTACATCCAGTTGGATCAAAAAGTGAGTCACTATGGTCTTGTTTGCCAATAACCACTCGAGATTTATAGTTCAAAGCGTTCAATAGGGTTTATATGAAATAGTTATAGGTGGCGATGCAAATATTGCAGACTTCAGTGTCTTACGATCTGATGGTGCTTGGATAGGAATTCTTAGCAACATTCTAGTTGCCATCCTCCGTATTGGTTAGGAATTGTGGCTTTTACCCTAAATAAGCTGAACTATTGCTTTCACATAATGAAGGAAAGTGTAATTCATCTTAACGTATAAAAGTGGGCTTGAAAATTTTCTTTTCTATGTTCATCATCATCCCATTCGATACATATCAGCTTAGATAAAGCAATAAGAAGACGTAATTTGTCTGAATCGTGTAATGCATTTGCGCGCACAACACATTTCGAACAATCTGATCACACACGGACTTGTCATAGGAATATATATAAAATTAACAAAGAGGTAAGAGGTAAGAAAATAGACTTAGGTCAAGTTAAAACGACATATTCAAGGTCAAAATAACAATCAAGACCACTAAACCAAATAGCAGAGGTAATAGTACATCTGCTATGGTATCAAAACAAAATTTACCAAGGAAGGTTTAATGTGATGGCGAATTGTTTTTGAACGCATAAAGGTGGCTTAAACTTTCTAATTGCTAGGGCTTCCACAAACTTTGGGATACGCCCCAAAAACGTTTTATAGATAGGTTTAAAAGATCTGTTAACGTCAATTTTATGTCCTGTCTCTACAATATGTTTCGCAATATAAGAGCTAGGTCTCCTGTTCTCACCGTTAATAGGTTCTAAAGATTCCATTTGTTTCTGGAGCTATTCAGGAATATGCTCTGAAGCCCTTACTTGCAGAGGTAGATGAGTCCTCCCTATGTATGTGTCCACACGTACATTCAAAGTGGTAAATACAGTAGGATGTGACGTCATTTTTCGCATGTTCGAAGGGCTTAGATAGATAAGATCTGTCTGTCTGTCTTCGACATAGAACTTTGCACAAATAGATAAAATGGTTTTACATTCTCTATTATTATGATATTAGCTGTATTAAAAGTCTTTTTAACAGCAGCGTTCAGTCTTTGTCTAGTTATCAAGCTGCTTTGATGCCCTATATAGGGTAGCTTGATGTACACGTCTTTCTTAGAGGCGAGTTGGAGAGTGGGTCTTGGTGTTCATATCATATCAGCTTATCAAACTAAGGACAACATGGCGAAACCAGTAGATCTTTTACGTGAATGAACTTTGAAGTCATATTGATTGATCTCTTCCCGAATATACAATGCTTTGAATACTAATAGTGGCTGGTTGACATTTGATGTATGAATTTCAGTCTGAGATGCAGTTGAATATATCAAAGATAGGACTTCACGTGAACATAGATAAAACAGAGATAATGAAGATTCCTAGCCAACATCAACAACACCAACAGACCACAATAAGCATAAATGGGAAGAACCTGAAAGAAACAACCTCCTTCACCTACCTGGGAAGCATCGTCTCAACTACAGGCGGAACTGACGAGGACATCAAAGCCAGAATCGGAAAAGCAAGACAAGCTTTCATTACTCTCAAATCTGTGTGGAGGTCAACAGCAATCAGCATCAAAAATAAGATCCGGATTTTCAACTCCAATGTGAAGTCAGTGCTACTATACGGATCAGAGACTTGGCGAGTCATAAAGAGCATCTCAAACAAACTCCAAACCTTCATTAACAACTGTCTCCGCTCAATACTCAAGATCAAATGGCCAGAAAAGATCAGCAACAGGGATCTCTGGGAGCGAACCAATCAGGAACCGATTGTGAAACAAATAGGCAGAAAGAAATGGAGATGGATTGGCCATACGCTGAGGAAACCATCAAGTGACATCACTAGACAAGCCCTCGAGTGGAACCCGAAAGGGAGGCGGCGAGTTGGTCGTCAGTGCAAGGGTGACTTGGAGGAGGTCATGCGAGGAGGAGATGAAAGCATGTGGACAGACCTGGAGCAAGGTGAAAAAGTTGTCAGAAAACCGAAGTCAATGGAGGTGCGCAGCTGAAGCCCTATGTTCCTCTAGGAACTAAAGGATACAATAATAATAATAATATCAATTTGCTACAAAAGGAGTAATTAATTCAATACTGCAATGTCATAGACTGGACTTTCAATAAGTAAGTGAAGGGAGGTTGTAGAATCTAGACAGTTATTAGGCAGACTCTCTTGCCCAGTTATTTATGAGCCCATTGTTTTTCTTAATCTCTAGTTGTCACCAATATCGAGCGGATCCTTTCATCTATGATCTTAACCTGATTGCCAAGTCTATGACATTTCAGTATTTAATTTAGCAGCCATCAGGTCTCGCTTTCGAATCCCACCGCACCTATTTCTACAACCTTCACACCATGAGTGTGACTCACAACCCGGTATTGAGTAACTGGGTTCTACTACTATATAAATATGAGACTGTGGGCTCAGATTGTGGTAGACTATAAAACAATGGATTCAACTTTACCACACGAATGATCTGCCAAATGAAATACAAAGTTCAGTTCTGTCAAAGTTCGTGTTTTATGTTGTCATTAGAAGAAAGCTGATAACTTCATTTTCAAGAGTTGGTGTGTAAGGATTAAATTTGTTTTTACGAGTTGTTGGTCGCGCTAAATCATGAATTGTTAGGAGTTAGAACTCATGGACTGGCCATTGAATCGAGTGCCAGTGGCTGAATGGTATACGAGCCAGCTTGCCTGGTAACCGGAAGTTCCTGGGTTCGAACCGCAGTGAGTGCGTACTGCTGACGATTCCAGAACTAGGATGAAACAGCTGTCTGGCAGTACTTCAGTGCTGGTTTTCAATGGTTCTCTAACTGATATCAATCCGTGGTCAAACTTGTAAAAATAACTTTATTGTTTTCCGTGTTTTTCTTTCAGTAAACTTTAATTCCAAATGAAGTTAACAGATGTTTGCAATAAACTCTATAAACGGTCTACAACTCACTTTCCAAACTTAGAATATTATAAATACGATTACTACAGGACTCCTGTTCTTAAAAATAGAGTAACTGGTAAAGGTGATAAAACAAGAAGTAAGCAATTATTGATAGTTATACTAAATTTCTTCTTCTTTTAAGGAGCTGTTTGTGTAGAGGAAATGTTACTTATGCTGGCTTGCTTAAAAGAAAGTGATTATGATCAACTACCATGTACACAAGTGATAGACACTTTTAATAAGTGTGTTCAAGTTATGGAGGTTAGATTCACTAATTAACAACCTTGTTAATAATTATTTGTTTAGGAAGATAGAAACATGAAGAAACGTATGCGGAAGTCTGGTATTGTGTTACAATCTCAAGATGCTAATGATTCATCTAATCGACTATCATCTGAACAAATTACAAGACTTTTAAGACGTTTCCCAGAACCTGAATAAACCTTGTCTTTTCATCTGTATATATTTATATATATATTTAATTTCAGTTTGTAGTATTCAGAGTTGCCTCTTGTAGTCCTGACTGGTTTGTATAAACTCCTGCATTTGAATATGTTTTTTGGATATAAACTCCTATCTGTCTGACACCTGTATCGATTCTGCTTTATGTTCATATTTTTATGTGTTCAATAGTGGGGATATGAAATTGCTTCCCAGTATAAATGAATAGTGTGTCAGGTAATTCATAGATGTCACTTTTCTTCTCTAAATGCTTGTATATGATCATGACTAAGAGCCACACACATTGTGTGAAAGCTAATGATACTACCCACTTGTACAAACGGCTGAATTATATAAATCGGGATTCGAACCCGGAACTCACTGGCTGGAAGTCGAGTGATTGAGTCAATTGACCCTTATCTCATGCTGTCTAGAAAATTGCGTTAGAATAAAAATTCACTCGTAGGTAAGAGGATATCTTCCAATCATCCGTATGTTGATTCTAATCAACTACAAACTTTATACAGTTGAGAATGAGTTGTTTTGTGAATTTAATGACGTTCACTGTGATCAGTAACTATCGTAGTGTTTGGTTAGAAAGTGAGTGTAAAATTCAAGAGTCATGGCTGTCAGGTGCGATGTTTAGACGGTATATCGTAGACTTGTTGGTTGCAGATTAGATGGTACTGGTTTTTTTTTCGGCTTTGCTCAGAGTGCGACCTATTTCTGTCTAACACATTAACTTGAGCCACCTCTGGCGCCGTCGCGACATTAGCTTGGCTGTCAAAGGTTGGGTATACAATGCTTCGGTGCCGGCTGTCTTGCTCTGCTCCTGGCCTCTCAGAGCCGCGGTTGTGCGGCGGCTCTGCATGTTCGATCATCGCTATCTGCCCAGAATTGCTTGCGTTCGATGGCATCATCGCGTCAGTGATTCTGAGGTTCGGCGGCGTGTGTTTGAACACAGTGGAGATCACCATTCATTGAGTGTCGTCATCTGGAAACACCGGCTCTGGTGGCTTGGACATGTGCTGCGAATGTCGTCCCAGAGGCTTCCGTACAGGTCTCTGTTCGTTAGCCCTGCGACGGGATGGAAAAAGCGGAGGGGTAGTCAGCCCATGACTTGGCATCGTGGGATGAAGGATTTTTGTGCTAGATTAGCATCGGTTGGTGCGTCACGAGATAACTCGTGCGAGAGATCGATGGCTCGAAACGTTATCGGATATGGCCAAGAATCGTAATCGACTGCGAAGGTGTTGTAATTTCCTTCTTTCTTCCCTTCCCGATGATAGTTGACGAATACTGTTTGAACTCGTTAAGCATGGATGTTTTCCTTCCAGATGAAGTTCTTTATCCGTTCTCCACCCATATTTTTACTTTTAATCTATGTTGTTTTATTAATATTGTTTGGCTCATCTTCTTGGTGCCATGTTTTTCTGCGTTTTGAATAAATAAAAGATAAATAATATCTAGCACGAACTTCCGACACCAGCTCATTTACTCACATCACATTGCTTTAATCTAAAAATGGTTTGTGGTTGCAGAAGTCTGACTATGCTTGAATATATATTGGATTCACTCTGTTGTATTGGTGGTCATTGTGTGTGTGTGTGTATCGTCATGAACACGTTAACTCGAGTAAGTTAGTTGAATTTGAATATCAAGTTGGGCTAGACATTTGATCCCTGGAGTCTTTATACGGACACCTATAGGTCCATATATGCTGCATGCCTAGGTCGTCAAGGGGAATAGTTGTATTATTTACGAAGAATTCGAATAAATTTACTTCCTATGGAAGTCTGCGCTAAAGATGTTGTCTAGAGAGACAATTAAACTTTCGCAAATAACTATCCAGCTCAGAGAACACAACTACTCCAACATACAATGGTTTACTAAATTTCTTTACGTGAAAAAAATTACGTAGCGAGTGAGTGGACAGAAGTGGACACATTTAACAACAGTCGGAATATTTTTCTGAAATCAGAGTTACTAGCCTCAAAGGGTCTGTCTGTTTTCGACATAGAACTTTGCACATATGTGCGGCAGTTCAAGTTGCCACACTCCATGTAACACACAAAACAAGAGAAGAAAGTAGAAGAAATGCATAATAGAGACAGTAAACAGGTGTGGGACAAAGGAATATTATTAACGAAGAACATTTTAGTTTCATTTGAAGTCATAATTCACAATAGTGGATGTATCTGCGCCACTGGGAACGATTTTGAGCCACATCACCAATTGTTTCCAACCATTGGTTTTAACCGTCCCGAGGACCCCAACCCGGAAGTCTACGCCTTCCTACGTGGCTTAGACTAACTGTTGTGGATTTCATTGGCTGATGAATCCATGTTTTGGTTTGACCGCCGCTAGCTCTTTTTCGACCTGACCCTATATCAGCTAACATTGCCCGTCACTCGAGGAAGGCGATGGCTAGGCGTGCATACGCGTAACACATGTCCTAACCATCTCAGTCGATGCAATTTCACAGCCTCGTTGTCGATTGATTTCCCCTTCTTACCTAGCACTCGACCGGTGCCTAACCTCGATATTGCTCACCTTATTATACCACTTCATACGGGAGATAGATACAGCGCAGGCACCTATGATCGAAGACAGCTAATCTTTTCGTGTCTTCCACCTGAAAAGGGCTGTTTCCAGGGTTATATTTACCAAAATAATTTAGAATGGAGTACTTCAGTCAGTAGTTTGAATAGACTTTCCCAATTAGTATTTTTTATCCGAAAGCCTCAACCACTTAACTCCTAAAGCGTCATCTGGTATGTGGCCTGGTTAATTTACTCCTGGCTTTTTTTAGAAATAAGAATGAGGTCCTGAATTGTAGACCATTGTTTCTTTTAATTTGACTGTCTTCATTTCTTTGAAATAAGTGGACAATGGAATTTTCTGCTAAATAGCGTTGCCTCGTAGGAAGTTAATAATACAGGAAAACTATTTATTCATATTTCTTGTATTTCCTGTTGATACTTCTGACCTATCTTTGTGGCTATGAGACGTGGCCGTTGAAAATGGAAGACTTCGAGAGGATAGTTGTCTTTGATCCATGGATGTTTGCGTTCTATCCATCGTGTTGATTGGTATAATGTGGTGAGTAGTTTTAAGGACAGGCATAGAGAGTTAAGTTATAAGGGAAAGTCCCTTAGCCTCCAAAGTCTCAGGATGGTCGGGGGTGGGTGTCTTGCGCTGCGGGTTGGCCACCCCTCCGCACACCTCTTGAAATGCTCCCATATGACCGTGCGTCTTACATAGCCTCTCCTGAGGAAGTCCTACTCACTGCCTTCACGTGGCGGAGGTGTTTCTCACTAAAGCGAGAGGGCAAAAGCGGATGCCCGGCGCTCTCCACCGGGATGACTGTCCATTGGATGACAGTCTAGGGGAGATGGCTAAACCCTGATTCCAAACCTTCAACGACTGGCGTATGAAGCTCACCGGAGCTCACCGGCAGACGTATGGACAAAGGGCTTGTTGGATGTCCTGGATGTCTGGCCCCATTCAAAAAGGCGTATGAACCGAACTCCGGTCACCGGCTGCCAATGGATAGTGGACTCCTTACTCCACTCCTACTGCCTTGTAGGTCACACTTGGCTGTGTAAAGGCTAGAGCTGCACTCTCAAACAAAAGGCCGAGCGATGCTGGGGACATCACTCGTACCAAATTCCCAAGAAACTTCATGAACTCGTTCATGAAGCCGGTTCATCCTCCCGTAGGAGATAGCCGAAGTAAAGTAAGTAAGTAAGAAAGTCAATGGATGAAGTTATGCAGCTGCATTGATTGAGATGACTAGGACATGTCTTACTCATGCCAAGTTATCTCCTTCCTAGTCGAGCTTGGTACATTATGAACACCAAGAGATGGACCAAATAAAATCTCATGGGTTGTGCGAAAGCTGGATACACTGTCCGGATCGAAGCAGGTGGTTGTCTTAAGAGACCACTTCCTAAGCCTCTGACTTGAAGTCTGATCCACAAAGGAGTGGGGCAGCGTTATGAGCTATGTTCTCATGGTTTCTGGTGACTGAAACACGTTCATAAGCCATTCGATCTTTTCAGATTCTGAAGCTTCTATACGCCTTAGATTTGGAATTAGGATTTTCCAGCTTCTCTAGGCATACCTGGATGTCCACCAGTCCGCTTGTAAGCTCCAGACGTCCGAATTCGCTCCTTCACTTTTGTGAGATACACCCGCGCCGCATTGAGGCAGTGAATAAGAATTACATGGTTGAGGCTGTTAATGCGTGGTCATATGAGAGCATTTGGAGAGGAAGACCGAAGTCTATACACCCTCAGACGTACCAGGTCATCTATGGTGGTGGTGGCGGAATGTCATGTATCAGGGCTTTTAGGTTAGTAAAGGGTTAGATCAAAGTATACGAGATTCTGTGTTGGAAACAGCCATTCAGCTGTATCTGACCGAATTGATAAGCTTCATTTTGGTACATTGACTCCTTAAACATGTGCCTCGATATTACATAAGGAGGGTACAGATAAATTTCTATATTGTGCATACGCCAGTAAGGTTTCAACCCACTCTCCTAAAGCTGTGTTCAATCAGCACTGTCCCCGTTGGGTTGGTGGCATTCAGTGAAGTTACTATATAAGTAACTGTGCCATTCATCTATGCATATTTGGATATTACGAAGGTCGTTGTTCAACAATTTTTACTATAAAATACTGACTTTAGTAGCTTCGGCATGTGTTATGAACGTTTTAAGCCTTAGAATTGATTGCGTGAAGCATAAAGATGAACAGCTTATGAGAATTCAGGTGTTTGCCTGTTGTATCATGTCTCCTTGATGGTATCAGAGAGATCATTCTAACCAATAACCCTAGACATTTTCATATTTCACAGTTGAAATCGTTAGTGACCTTATTAGAGATTCCTTGTCCTTTCTGATGTCACCAAGTCCTTTAGCGACATTCCGATTTTGTGTGATCATTCAATTATTGTTTGGCACTTTCGCTGGTTTTCATATGTTACATTTTTTT